CGTATAACATCTGGAACAACTTCATGCTGCTCAAAGACCTCCTTTACCCTATTTCCTTCGTTGGCATCGATGCAGATGAAGAACAAAAAACAAAATACTTTTACAAACCCTAAGTTCGACATTTTGCGTATGCCTTGTATGTGGAACCGATGTTTCACTTTATTATAAAGATAAAATACATATGTACATATGTATATGATCTAAATCGTATCGACTTTGGAATGTCACTACACCTCTTTTGTGAGCTTTGGGTGGTTTTCGAGTAATATGCAGTATAAATTGCACATTTACTTGCATTTATTTATAAATGAGATGAGCATTGAGGCACAAATCGCACATGTTCTTCAAAATCATCTTAACTTGAAAATTATAACTTTTGATATGAGCTAAAAATATATCTGAAAAAAACCATGTAAGTAAAAATTTCAAACTTTGTAAAAAAATTGCACAGCTTTTTAATTATACATACATATATTCTGGAATCATTTTGGCTGCATTGCTGTTAAATGGACAAAGACAATATGTATTAAATAACACATTGAAATGTGTAATTTCAGTGTCTGAATTACATATATCAGAATCACAGTATCCGATATAGAAAACTGTAATAGTCCTGGCTAGCTACATTGTGAAATAATCAGATGACATGAGGACACAAAAATTTTTTAAAAATATGTTCACTAAAATTATATTAGTACAAAAATAATGATTTGGCAAGTTGTTATCGAATTTAATCACTTATTTTTAAAAGGTAAATGTTAATAAAACTATTTTATTTATAATCCCAAATTTAGCATATAAAATCTCCCACACTAAAAAACTTACGCCGCTTCGAATTTTTCAAAATTTAGCAATTGTAAATTTTTTTAAACGCTCCGATTAAGAAAACTCCTCCGGATAATCGTCAGATTATGGAACCAGGGTATTGAGATGAACCTTCTGTATGAAAATCTGACGCGCTCGAGTAATCCCAAATGGCGATCTTTTTGCATCTTCAAGAAGACTCCACGAGTTTGCCTTACATCTGGATCGTCAGATTATTGAACGGGAGGTTCATTCGGGCTCTTTTTTTTGTAATTGTTCACCCTTCCGTACGACCATCTTCACCATGCAAGTCGGCCGATTAGCATATCTCCGTATTCAGAAACAAGTTTGATTTATTCACTATCAATAGGTATCTCGAGTAAATCCACGTAACTGTTTTTTTTTTACATTTTTGGAACCCTGTAGATCGTCCACCCACCGCTGGAAGGAAAAACATGACGTGAACTTTTTTCTTCCCCTCATATGATCTTCAATATCCAATAGGTCGAGTAAATCCAGATTTAACATCGTGGGCTCCCCTACTATAAAGCATACCAACAGATCACGTTCACGATTTCCAGTGATACATTTATCTGCTAATATTACGGTTTGGTGGTTGTCAGAAGGTATATTTCCATTGTCGTCTTTAATCCTAACCTAACGAAAGTGTATGTTCGTGAAAATTGAAATTCTCCAGTTCAAGGTCTTGAAATTCTCCAATGATCTGGCGTTTCACAGCACGGTTAATCGCTATACAAAATAAATTTGAAGAACTTTTTCCCATTTACTTATTGGGCCAATCGGAACACTCGGGGGCTCGGCATACTCGGTGGTACAGCACGTCGCTGTAATCGGACATTCACGGCACTTTTTATCACCTGACGATTTTTAGTAATAACTCGACCCCAGCAATACCCGGCGGCTGTTTTATGCAATAGTATTGCCCTTACCGAATCTCGAATATAAACTAGATCGGATCATAACTAAGATGTTTAACAATAACACGACTCCAGCGCCACCTGGCAGGTTAAACTGGGAATCTGAACTATCCAGAGACCTTACTCAAGCACA